TCTTAAATATCGTCTTAAATATCCGTAAATTCTGGCTTAAACATCCGTAAATTATGGATAAACAACTATATTTTATTAATGAAGTGGGTAAACAAACCAGCATTATTTTCATGGACAGAAAGCAGGGCAGCCTCGGCGGAATGCCTTCGATCGGTGGAATTCACGCCGTCACCGTTCGTGTTGTCTTCGCTCCATTCCTCCACATCCGGCAGTTCACACGTCGGTAACTGAAAACAATTTTTTGCACCAACTCAATATTTTTAGCTTAAAATGGAGCTCATACTTACTCAGTAACATTCAAATTAGGCTACTTACATTGACTTGTACACCTTTCAAGGACCTTTTCTCATTTCGAGTTATCGGAAAACTTCTTTCGGTGCTCAGCAATGACTTTATGCCTCTGTCATCCCGGCTATTCATTCGATCAATTGACTGACCGCCATGAATCCCTCGGAGTCGAGCACTTGCACTTCCAGTAAAAATAAATTTTTTGGCTGCTTCCTGTAAAAAATTAATCAGGTCTTGCACTGAGGTAGCAGTTTTGGTGTTTTGTAGAGCAACTCAGTAACATCACTAATATGAGAATCGAGGCAACGAAGTTTTTCTTTTCGATTATCAGCTGACGAACGCTGTCTTTGCTGTCAGCTGGTATTCGAATAAAACCTCAGAAGATATGGTTTAAACTTTCTTGACAATACTCCATTTATTTATGAGCAGCCACAGTATTTGTTATGAACGTGGAAGGAAGATGCTCCGTGAATTGAAATTCAAACCACATAAACTGGACGGGTGCAATTAAAAAGGGGTCTCCTCGACGGTTGGTAGTATTTCCCCGTTTTTTGGCTCCAAAAAGGGCCGAGTGAGGAAAGAGTACAGGCTGGAACGCACCAGGCGAGCCGGTGCGATCATGTGTTTTTGCACCAGACTTGAAGTAATTAAATAACTGTATGAACGGTTGTTTCTTCACACTTCCTTGTGTGCTCAATACCGTAAATCATCGTAAATTTTGCGTAAAAGGAAATAAGCAATTTCCGTTCGGTGGTCATTATTATGCGTTTTTGCCTATATGCAAATTGCAAAAATGCATTTTACTGGCGACCATGTCTGTGTGTGTGTGTTCGTCTGTCCGGGTATTTCAACTCGGCAACCAAGCAAGTTCCAGCGCCAAGAATTTGCTCATAGGTTCCCCGGCCAAGTGCCACCCCAGAACCGCGGTACCAGCCCTCATGCAAGTCTGGGCCCCGCGTATGAGGGGGCAAAAGTTTTGGCGAGAAAATTGATAACTCGAAAATGAGGAAACATAGAAAGCTGAAATTTTGAGGTTTTGTTCCCCGCTCACATATAATTCAAAGATTTCAAATTTAGCTCCCAGGTGTGCATGGTTCTCACGTACGGCCCCGTAAAATTTTATGGTGAGAAAATGGCTAACTCGGGAACAAGCAAAAGGGGATGTTCTCAGCCCATGTACGACTTAAAGCTATCAAATTCAGCCCCCAGGCATATGTGGTTCTCGTGTATGGGCACTTAAACTTTTTGGCGGGGAAATTACTCACTGAACAGCTTAGACGTTTTCAAATAAAAATGACCGCTAAACAGAAATTGTTTATTTTCTCGATGATTTACGGTATTGAGCGCACAAGATAGGTGTGAAGAAACAACCGTTCATGCAGTTGACCTAATTACTTCAAGTTTGGTGCAAAAACACATAATCGCACGAGCTCGCCTGGTGCGTTCCAGCCTAGGTTTGAAAATGACTCAGCTATTCAATGCGTAATTTCCCTACCAAAAGTTTAAGTACCCGTACACGAGAACCGCGAGTAAATGGCGGCTAAACTTGACAACTTTAAGTCGCACATGGACGGGGACACATCCCCTGAAAATTCCTTGAAATTTTCAGCCCCCTAGCTTTTCTAGTTCCCAAGTTAGCGATTTTTGCGCCAGAAACCCTCAAGAGGCTGTACGCGGGAAGCACGCACACTTGGGGGCTGAATTTGAAATCTTTGAGTTATATTTGACGGGGAACATAACCTCAAAATTTCAGCTTTCTATCTTTTCTCGTTCCCGAGTTACCAATTTTCCGCCAAAACTTCCACTCTCTCGTGCGCGGGGCCCAGACTTGCGTGGGGGTTGGTGCCGCGGTTCTGGGGTGACACTAGCTGGGGAATCCACTAGCAGAATCTCGGCGCTGAAACTTGCTTGGTTACCGAGTTGAAATACCCGGACAGACGAACACACACACAC